ATTTGGAAAACTTCTGTTTTAACGGTTGTTGCCGCTAAATGTGTGTATATTGTAATTTTTTGTGTATCAACATTATTAATATCGAAGAATTTTGCTTTAGATTTTGGGATGTTGAACTAAACAGTAAGACTTGCCCGTAAGTTTTGTTTTATTTAAGCTTTTTTTTATATGGGAATATTGTTCAATTATTATATTGAGAACTAACCTGCGAATACGCATGCGCAGCCAGTTACCACTTTGTCAACAGGTTTAACTCGAAAGCTTTCTTATTATCTCTTATAATAATAATAATAATAGGTTCGTGCAAAAGTTTCCAAAACTTCTTTTGATGATAAAATAAATAAAAATAAATAAATAAAAAGGTTTTCCTCAGTGTATTCAGTCACGAGTTTTCAAAAAAGATGGCGGCTGGAGCGTTTCCCTAGAGATCACGTGACAGCACATCTCCTTAATTACTCAAACATTCTCCTCGACTTTGTAACTGATTTTTATTAATGCTGTCGTTTGGATAGTTTTAAATTGCCTTTGGTTTTCCAATTGTAACTTTTATTTTTACATTTAGGCAAGTCTCTTCGGGACTGTTGCAAATGTTCCATTAATAATGCTGTTTATTTGCTTTTCTACGTCACCAAATGCAATCTACGGTCGATTTGATGAGGTGAGGAGTACACGCTCTCATGTGAGTAGTGGGAAGACAAGTCCAGGTCCCTTTGTCACCGGCGCTAAGACATGTTCATACACCATACCCCTTTTGACGTAATGGGGGAGGTACTTCTTCAGAGTTGGAATCTCCAGGGACAAAGCATAATTTCTACAGTGACAACAAGACAGAGCTCATATATTTTCACTTTTTTTAAAACATTTTTGCTCCAAAGCTTATTTAGTGCTTATTTGATTTTGTAAGAAAGTGATCTTGCAAGACAATTGCAAAATTACATTAAAGTTCAGTAATTATTTAGGCAAAACACATAAAACTGTGTCAAGTATATACATACACTCCTCACTTAGCGACGAGACTAGGTTTCAATGAACTGGTCGCTAAACGAGAGGTAGTACCCGACCGCTATTTCAGGCATACATATCTTTAACGTCAACTTTACACTATTTGTAACATAATTCTTTCGTTAACATTTACACAGTACAGTCAGGGCACTCTGAAGCGGTGTAATGATTAGCGAGCTTGTCTCGCTAGAACAATTACGCCTGAGTACTGAGTTCGATCCTCACTGGGTGTCCCATACTTTCGGCCTTGTGCCACATCTAAGCTACGCTTGGAAAATCACTATACACTACAGTTATAATGGTTAGCAAGCTTGTCTTGATCAATTACGACTGAATAGCGAGTTCGATCCTCACTGGGTGCTCCATAATTTCGGCAATATGCGACATCTAAGCCATGCTTAGTAAATCACCGTACAGTACAAGTATTTTTTTTTTATTCATTTTGAAGAAACAGATCCCGATGATCGCTTTCGTATAACAAATTACCAATTGTTTGGATTTTTTTATATTGAAATTTTATAGTTGGTTCTAAGTCGGGGGATCGTTAAACAATTAAGTCGTTAAGTGAGGAGAGTTAAACAGTTAAGTCGTTAAGTGAGGAGAGGCTGTACAAGCGTTTATAATTCGATAAGTATGTGCATTAACAACAGTGTGTTTGCAATTCTTCAAGAAGCAAAAGAGAAAGAAAGGAATGTTAATGTAATGAGAATCTCTTTTCTCTCTCTCATATATATATATATATATATATATATATATATATATATATATATATATAGATAGATATTGATATATATTGGTATATATATTGCTATATATTCAGTTAGTTTGCCATTCGTTTTGCATTGTTGCTCATCACTACCTGAAAAATATATAGTAGGAAACTGCCAGTTAGGAAAGATTATAGGGATAGGTGTCTGAAGAGTTCTTATTTTTGTTATTAAATTTTGGGTGTGCATTATGTAGCTTTTTTACATTGTGCTGCCTAAATCTTACATCATTAGGAATCTTTGAATATATATATATATATATATATAATTCTATGTGAAACATAAGTCAACACTTGGAGGCGACAGTCTGTTTCATACTATATGCAATCGTCGATTGCCTGACAATCTCATATAGCATGAAACAGACTATCGCCTCTAATTATAATTCTATGTTCACTTTTATATTTTACATTATTCTGATAATGAGCACTATATCCCATAAACATAGCACACCTTAAGACTATATCTCTTCATATATATATATATATATATATATATATATATAACAATGTTGTGTGTGTGTGTGTGTGTGTGTCCTGTATTTTTTTAATTTTAAACTGTAGATACCTGCAGATTTGGATACAAATCTGACCAATAATTAAATAAAGTATAAGCTGAATCTATGTCTATCTTTTGACTCAAGTATAAACCTGAACTATGTCCATTTTTATTAATCATTTCACCCCAAGCAAAGCAATAACACCATTAAGGTGCAAGGGTTACTGAGTGTGAAAGAGTAAAAATAAACACATTATTAAGGAGAGAGAACAATAAAAGAATGAGAATTAAGCAAACAGAAAACAATGAATGACATTGCCTTTAAATTTTTGAAGATCAAAGTTGACCGGAAAGCAAGCAGTCATGAAGCAAGTTCCACAAGAGTGAAGTGTGAGAGAAGAAACTATTAGCATAGAACTTACGGTTACATTTAGACATTTCAGCTGTAAGATGAGACCTTGCCACAATCAAGTAGTATCCTTAAATTTGTAAAGTCTAGGTACCATAGAGAAAGCTCATCAGAACAATTACCAGGAAAATATTTAAGGAAAAAGCATAAGAAGCTATGTTATGACAGTAGGAATGTGACTGAAGCTGAGATACTAGGTCAGGACTGATAACATTGCAGATTCTTCTTGAGATTGTATCAAGAATCTCTAAATACATAGTAGAAGCACCAGACCAGATTTGACAGCAATATTCAATGCATGGTTGAATGTGTAAGATAGATTATGGTGAGAAAAATTGTTTATTTGTTATGTTATGTACATTAATCAGTTTTGAGAGACCACTGATCTGCACTTAAAGACCTATGCTTCAGCTGCTGATGGTAACACAGCAACTTTTATGACTGTACAGTCCCACACAGGAGTGAGAGTCTTGATTCCAATGAATACATGTGAAGACACTCTCTCACGATGATGATGTGCTGTTTTCTTTCCTTTGAGCACGCTTTTCTCCAACAGTAAGCCACCATTTTTTTCTGTCTTCACTGCAGCCCTTGGTGCAATTTGTAAAAATCAGCATGAGCGATTTGAAATTCTTCAAAACTCAATGTCTATGTCCATTGCTATTATGTTCCTTTTGTGAAATCAATTTAAACATTGTTTGAAATACTAGATTCTCAGTTCCATACAGAAGGACGAAGAATTCTCCTATCAATAGACTGTTACTTCCCGTGTTTTGCCATTGTGATGAGGTGATGCTGGAGTGTTCTCCCCAGGGTGCATGTCTGGGCAGGGTTTTATGAGAGATTGGCAGTTGCCCATGAAGCACATTTCTCCTCTCCATGCCACTAATGTTGTGCAAGGAAAAAGGAAAAGGTGTTGTCGCTGAAGATACCTGATTGAAGTTGAACATAACATCGGGCTGTCTTAAGGATTCTGGCTCAGGATTTGTCCTCTTGAAGTCTTTCGCATGATTTGGAATGGCCTCAAGGCAGCAGAGCTTTAAAATCAGAGTTTTTCCTTCTCTTATTCTTTATTATTAAAAATTATTTATTAATTCATTCTAATTTTTGTTTGTTACTTATATTTTATATTAAATGACCCACCAAGTGTTGATTTGTCATTAAAGTAAACAACCTAAATCTAAACCAGAAACTAAAGTTATAATCTTTTTTAAAAGACTTTTTGCTAATGAGTTATTTTTGTGCAGTTACAGAAAAATAAAGAAAAAAATACAATATCACCTTGACCTTTGTAGTAGAAAGAATGGCCACTGGGTAAGCCATAAATCTTAATCACTCAATGACGACATTTATTAACTTATAAATCCTTATAAAAAAATATAATCCAGTAGTTATTGCTGTAAACAAAAGCTCAGTAAATTAAATTTTAAAAAAATGTGGTGGCTTGTAAAATATTTTGCAAAATCTCCCCAAATATTGAAATTAAATGCTATCCAATAGTTTAAGAAGGCGAATTTAAAATAAGTTTGATTTAATTAATAAGTATGATATCTTAATAGGGATCAAAACTTCATTCAGGCTTTTCAATGGAACTAGTTTAACCCCCCACCCCTTATGATGGGTTGGATTTCAAAAAGGAATAAAGAAATTAAAATTAATTGCGACTTTAAATTACATAATGGATAACCCAAGTCAGACAAGAACAGATTTAGTCATCATGAATAAAGAAAAAAGATCTGTCAAACAAACATGGCTGTTCCAGAAGACCAAAGAAGAGAAAAACTGAAAGGGAATGAAAGGCGGGAAAAATTATATGGATAATTCTAAAAACTTAATGTTTCATGGAATATAAAAGCGAAAATTGTACATCCTGAAAATCAAAATAAAAAATTAACATTCTGTTCACTATTGAATAATTATTGACTTTTACTTCTCAAAAGAAATTCTAAATTGTTTGTTTTTTGTTTAAATTGTTTGTTATTTTGTTCATTTCAATATATAAGAATATATGCTTACATAACTGGAATATTTACTTATATATCTAGTTATCCACATATGTCGAATAGATAATTAGGCATGTATGTTTATCTGTCTATCTGCTTTTCTGTATATATATATATATATATATATATATATATATATATATATAAACTCACAAGAAAGTATACCTGAATATATGTGAGTTTGTGTGCATGTATATGTAACAAGATAGGTGGAGCTAATAGGTAGATACAAACAGAATGGGACATATAGATATGAACAGAATGGGATAGATAGATAGATAGATAGATAGATGTTAACAGAATGAGATAGATAGATAGATATTAACAGAATGAGATAGATAGATAGATAGATAGATAGATAGATAGATAGATAGATAATGTTAACAGAATGAGATAGATAGATAGATAGATATTAACAGAATGAGATAGATAGCTAGGACCAGAATGAGATAGATAGATAAGACCAGAATGAGATAGTGTTGGGGCGCACCCACCTTCTAACTAGTAATGGACTGGTCCCTCTTATATAAGTCAGCTCTGGAGAGAGAGTGACAGAGCGTCAGAGAGAGCGTCAGCGTGAGCAGTCCAGATAAGCTTACCCGTTACATACCGTTGGACTATAGACTTTGGATATTGTTTCGTACTAACCAACCTTCGTTCTACTAATCACTCTATTGTTAATTGCTTTTATGAATATACCAGTATTTTCCTCTACAACTGTGTTTGTCTTGATTCATACACCGACACGCGGGAAACTCACAACATCTCAACAGATAGATAGAGAGATAGATAGATAGATAGATAGATAGCTAGGAACAGAATGAGAGAAATACAAACAGAATGGAATATATAGCTACAGCGATAGATAGATAGATACTAACAAAATTAGATAGGAATATAGATATGAAAGGAAAGTGATAGAAAGATAGAGGGATATGAACAGAATAAGATAGAGACAGAGAAGAGAATGAAATAGATCAATAGATATGAACAGAATGAGAGAGATGGAAAAATAGACAAATAGTAACTGGGTAAGATAGATAAATGATATATATGAACAAGATAGATATTAACTGAACAAGATAGATAAATAGATATGAATAGAATGAGAGAGATAAGTACAAATTTAGCACCACTGATATAGATCTTTGTATAGCAGTGAATGAATATTTATGGAAATGAACTTTTATTGAAAGAATTTCAAGCAAAATTCTTAAAAGAGGTGAGAATGAGTGCTTCCTGAACTTTGAACCTGGAAACTTGCCAAAATAAGAATATTCTTTTCTAGTTACAGGCAAAGAAAAAAAAAAGAAATACCCCTCAATAAGTCAGCTCCCCATCGCCCTTACAGATTCCCCCCCTTGTCTTTCCACATCCTCTTTGCTCACTCTGAACCCTAAAAAGCAAAGGAGAGGATGGAATGCAATAAAAGATAATTTTGTAAAAAGGAAAATAAAACTGAAAAAAATTATTTGTAGAAGGAGAAAGGAGGAGTTGTGAGTATCTGAAGAACAATATTTGGAAAAAGGTTTGCATTTAGATATGAAAGAAAATGAAGAATAAAGAAAAAGAAAGAAGTTGGAGAAGTAATTGAGGAAGAAAGTATTGAAGTTGAAAGGAACGAAGGAAGGTGGAAAAAAAAAGTAGATGAAAATATTATCAAAGGAATGCTGAAAAGGAAAGACCTATTCTTGTTTTAACATTTAAAAAAGAATGGAGTAAAATTTAAACTCCAATATTAAAAATATTTCTTTTTAATAGTTAGGAAAAATTGAAAAAAATGTAAATGATTTCAAAAGAAGAAAGAGATAAAATGTAAAGGAAAAAAGAGAGAAATTGAAGCATTAAGAAAGGGAGAAAAAGTTGAAAGAGAAATGAAAAAAGAAAAAGGATAATAAAAAGAATATAAAAAAAAAGAGAGACAATAAAATTAAGAAAGGGATAAAAAAGGAAGAAAGAAAAATGAAAAGAAGAATAAAAAAGAAAATAAAAATAAAAAAAGAGAGAAGGTGTGTGTATTAAAGGGAGAAAAGGGAAGAAAGAGAATAAAAGAAGAAAAGAATGGTAGGAAAAAAGAGAGAGAAGGGTGTTCTAAGAAAGGGAGAAAAGGGAGAAAAGAGAATAAAAAGAAGAAAAGAATGGTAGGAAAAAAAGAGAAGGAGGTGTTTAAGAAAGGGAGAAAAGGAAGAAAGAATAAAAAAAAAGAATGTTGGGAAAACCCAATGGTGGAGAAAAGGAAAAGAGAATAAAGAAGAAAAGATTTAGGAAAAAAGAAGAAAGGGAGAAAAGGAAGAAAGAGAATAAAAGAAGAAAAGAATGGTAGGAAAAAAGAGAGAGAAGGTGTGTATTAAGAAAGGGAGAAAAGGAAGAAAGAGAATAAAAGAAGAAAAGAATGGTAGGAAAAAAGAGAGAGAAGGTGTGTATTAAGAAAGGGAGAAAAGGAAGAAAGAGAATAAAAGAAGAAAAGAATGGTAGGAAAAAAGAGAGAGAAGGTGTGTATTAAGAAAGGGAGAAAATAAAAGAATAAAAAGAAAAAAAGAATAATAAGGAAAAATAGAGACAAAAAGGTGTATAAAAATAAAAGAAGAAAAAAGGAAGAAAGAGAAATGTTGAAAAGAAAAGGATAATAAAAGAATGGTAGGAAAAAAGAGAGAGAGAAGGTGTGTATTAAGAAAGGGAGAAAAGGAAGAAAGAGAATAAAAGAAGAAAAGAATGGTAGGAAAAAAGAGAGAGAAGGTGTGTATTAAGAAAGGGAGAAAAGGAAGAAAGAGAAATGTTGAGCTCAAAAGGAAAAATAGAAGGATGTGGAAAGTGGGAGAAAAGGAAAAGAATGTTTAAAAGAAAAAGGATTTTAAAAGAATAGGAATAAAGAGAAAAAAAATTGAATATAAAAAAAATAATAAAGAGAATAAAAAAGAATTGAGAAAGGACAAAAAGAGTAAAATACGTTAAAAAGTTTGATAGGGAAGTAGAAAGGAAAGAATGTAAGGCTCTGTAGGAAAAAGAAGAGAGTAAAATTGCATTAATAAAGGGAGCGTTAATAAAGAACAAATGAGAAGAAAATAAGGCCCTCAAAAAGAAAAGGAGAAAAAAAGAAGCAAAAATGTTGATTTTAAAGGATTAAAAAAAACGTCAAATCTAAAAAGGAGAAAAGAAACTTAAAATTTAAATGTTTCAGAAAATCTTTTAAAAAAGAGAGATTGGAAAAGGAAAAAAAAACTGAATAAATGAAGAAAAGAAATGGTAGGGTTTAAAGTGTTTCCCTAAGAAAAAAAACCAGAAAAAAAATAAAAAGAAAAGGATAAAAAGAATGGTAGGAAAAAGAGATAAGGTGTATTAAGAAAAAAAAAAAGAGAAAGCATCAAGAAAAGGAGGAATTTTTTTTGCGCCCTCCATCATTCTGCTTCTTTGAATATCAAAGGATATTCAATCCAATCATCGAAAAACAATTAGGGCCAAGAAATTTTCCCAAAGTTGAGAGCTTAAAGAAAAATAAAATTTGGCTCATGGATGGAAAACTACAGCGAAAAAAAAAAAAAGACCAGTTCACCAATGTTTAACCGAGCTGGAAGGGAGTTTTACAAAGAAAAAATTTGTCTTTTTTTCACAAATTCGGATTTTTTCAAAAAAGAAGGTGTCGGCAAACTCCTCTCAGTAAAGCAAGAATCTTCAAAACGTAAAAAAGACCAAAAATACATGTCTCTCTCTCTTTTTAAAGCAAGGAGAATAGGACGAATCTCTACGACCTGAATATCTAGAATAATAAAAGAATGGTAGGAATGCCGATGTACCGTGTGGTTAAATAAGGTTGCAAGAAGAGAATAGCCGAAAAGAATGGTATTTCCTTATTAAATAAGGTTGTCTTTTTTTCTTTTTTTTTTTTTAAAAGTATTTTTTTGAAAAAAAAAGGTTAATTGGAACGGCGGAAATCTGCCGAGAGCCTGGTGTTAAAATAAGGTTGCAACAACGGTGCTGAGAAAAGGATAATACCCTGTGGAAGGGCTCGTGTCTGAAGGCCGATTCAATGCCGATGTACCCTGTAGAATTGAGTAAAAAGAGAACGGCCGCGTCAATGCCGATGTACCCTGTGGTTAAGAAAGGGGAAAGGGGAAGAAGCCGATCAATGAAAAGAAAACCCTGTAAAAAATAAGGTTGCAAAAACAGAGACGGCCGTGTGAAAAGTTGGGCGGGAAAAACTGACCTTGAACAACTATGAAGGTTAGTAGGTGGGAAATGAAAAATAACTGTCAGAATGTGAAAAGGATAACAAATAAAAGAAAAAGATGAGTGGAAAAAAAGCGAAGGAAGAAAAAGATGAGGAAAACATTTCAAAAAAAAAAAATTATCCTGAAAAACAATAGTAGAATAACAAGATTTGTGAATTAAGAAAAGAGAAAAATAAGTCAAGTCCCAGAATAAAAAAAAATCGAAAATCTACGAAAATGGAGGAAGGTGAAGGTTAATATCAATAAAGGGAAAAATATGGGAGCAAAACAGAGAAAGAAAATAATAAAACCACCATATAAGAAAGGAGAAAGGAAGAAAGTAAATAACAAAAAAGAAAGGAAAAGAATGGAAAAAGCTGTTAGAAAGATGAAAAAAGGAGGATAGAATAAAAGAAAACTTCAAAAGAATAAAAATCGCTGGAAGGTCCATTATAAAACAGGATCTATTGAAGAAAGGCAACTTTGATGAAAAAATGGTGGGAAAAGGATGAGTGAAGGTGTGTATAGTTTCCAAAGAAAAGTGTGTATTTATATAAAAGAATTTCCTATTTCATGGATCTAATGTGAAGAGAATAAACAAAAAAAGAAAGGAACAAAGGAAAAAAGATAAGAATGGTGAAGTCCCAATCTGAATAGTGGAAAAAGTCAGAATAAAGTTGACAGGAGGGAAATTGGGAGAAAGCAGCAAAACAGTCTTAAGAAAAAATAAATGGGTAAAAAGAATTTAAAAGAAATAGAGAAAGGGAGAAAAGGAAGAATATTAGTAGTATAAAAAAAGTAATAATAGAAGAGTATTAGGAAGAAAATTTGAGAGAGAAAAAAGAGGTGTGTGTGATGCTAGAAAGGAAGAAAAGAATGTAAGTTTGGAAAAAAAAAAAGGACAAAAGGAGTTTGCCGAAGAGTGTGTATTAAGAAAACAGAAAAAGGAAAAATCAGTTTTGGAGGAAACAAAAAGGAATATCTAAATAATGTAATGGGAAAAAATAACAACAACAAGGTGTGTATTAAGAAAGGGAACAACAAAATAATAAAAGAAAGAAAAAGAATTGTAGAAAAAAAAGAAAAATTTGTAATGAAAGGAGAAAAGGAAAAAAA